ACTTTAATGCCAGGAGCTCACAAAGTAGAATTTTTGCTCACAGGACTCCACAGCTTAGAGGGTGCATTGATACTGAGTACACTTTTTGAATACATAGTAGTAGATTACACAGTGGGGGTTTTGGGTTTGCACATCTTTTACACTGTGGCCCTAGGTTTATGCATTTTAAGGTTACAGCAGTTATATTCTTTTTCTGGCCACTGTGTGATACAGAGTGTTGGGCTGGATGGGCCTTTGGCCTGATCCAACATTGGCGTCTCTTATGTTCTTATTCTGTTCAGGATGTGAATTGCTCCACTCAGTGGGGCGGGGGGGTTGGAATGAGAGGTAACATTGGGTGACGCTCTAACATTCACCCAAAATGGTATGATTTAGCCATAGAATCTGGGGCAAATGCTAAAGCATCTCCTGATTAAGTGACGTCATGGTGTCAACATACTGTCAACCATCCCCCCCCCTGTTGTCCCCAGCTTTTTGCCCTCCCCTGCAAAACGGCTAAAGGAGAGGCCTAAGCAAAGTCCTGCCATACACTGCAGTGCCTATCTTGTGGTATACACAGGATGATACACTTAAGAAAGAGTTACATCTCGGAGGTGAGACCGTCTGCCTTCTGGAGAGAAGAAGCTGAATTGTGGTTGTTCTGCTTGCTGGAGTTGTTGCAGTTAGTCGCAATCTGGGAGGCGTGGTGGCTCAGTGCTAGAGCAACTGCGTGGAATGCAGAAGGTCCCAAGTTCAATCCCCAGCGCCTCCAGTCAAAAGGAACAAAGAGTAGGTGATGAGAAAGACCTGAGTAGACAATACTGGATGGATTCAGTATAAGACAGATTCACATATGCATGTATTTGGCCATGTCGAGACATACTGATTAATACATAGAACAGAGTTTTGCTGTAGATTTTCCGGGTTGTGTGGCCGTGGTCTTGGCATTGTAGAACCTGATGTTTTGCCAGTAGCTGTGACTGGTACCATCAGAGGTATAACACAGAAAGATGGAGTACTCTCTGTGTCAAGGTGCAAAGAAAAATGGTAGGCATGTTCCCTCTAAGCTGTGGAGTCTTGTGAGCAAAAATTCTTCTTTGTGAGCTACTGGCATTAAAGTAGTGAGTGAGTGATTTGGATACTGCATAAATTAGCTTGCTCTGGAGCCATCCTCCCTGAGCTAAAACAAAAATCTGTGAGCTGGAAGCTAAAAATCTGTGAGCTAGCTCACACTAACTAACCTTAGAGGGAACACTGGTAGGCAGGTAATTTATATCTACTCCAGAAGATGGGGTAGGGCTGAGTCATTTTCTTGTAGGAGTGCCCCAGGCTATGAACATGCTAATGGAGGCGCTTTCCTGAGGAGGTTCTTTTGTGTATGGATTGTTTCCTGAGGAGGTTCTTTTGTATGTAGACTGCCTGTTGAAATTCTAATCTTATCTGTCGTGCTATTGGCAGATGTAGAGCCTTTTGTGTTTTTCAGGACAGGAAACCATGCCCTGTGTATTTTTAAACTCTCTTCTTTCCTGTCGAAATTGTGCTTACGTTTATGAATGTCAGTGGCTTCCCTGTGTAATCTGACATGGTAATTGGAAGTGTTGTCCAGCCTTTCAGTGTCTTGGAACAAAATACTGTGCTCTGTTTAAGTTAGGCTATGTGCAGCCACTGCTGATTTTTCAGGTTGGCCAAGTCTGCAGTGTCTTTCGTGTTCTTTTATTCTTGTCTGAATGCTACGCTGTGTGGTCCCGATGTAAACTTGTCCACAGCTTTGACAACATATATAGAACAAAGTTTGAATCCAGTGGCACTTCCTCAGATACACAAAAGCTCATACCTTGAATAAAACTTTGTTGATCTTAAAGGTGCCACTGGACGCAAGCTTTGTTCTACTGCTTCATACCAACACAGCTACCCCCCCCTTGAAAAATATATAGATAGATATATTGATAAACCTGTTCATTTCCTTCACAGGCAACTGGTATATGTTTTTGGTGGAACCTGGAGAATCTAAGATCCCTTTATAACAGATCTGAATCCGGGGGATCCGCACACACTAGGGAATTCAGTTTCAGCCCAGAACTCCCAGCTCACATCTGTTCTACAGGACCGGTGGCAGATGCAGGGCAGGCCTGTAACTTAGACCGATTTCACACAAGAGCCGCGCCGTGACCACGCCTCCCTTTGCCCTGCTTCTATTGGCCAATTTCCCACTCGAAGCCGCATGGTCGCATTTTGACCCGCGGCTTCGCCCGGTTTTCCCTGTGGTTTCATGATCCTCAAAAAACAGGATCACAAAACCGGCAGAGAAAATCAGGCAAAGCCACGAGTTAAAATGCGGCCGCGCGGCTTCGAATGGGAAATTGACCGATAGAAGCGGGACAAAGGGGGGCATGACTAGCGGTGTGGCTCTTGTGTGAAATCGGTCTTCGTGTTGCAAATCTGGGTTGTGAAATTCCTGGAGATTTGGGGGCAAAGCCTGTGGAGGTTGGGGTATGGCAAGGGTAGGGACGTCAGTGGGGTATCATGTCTCAGAGGCCTTCAAAGAAGCCATTTTCTACAACAAAACTGAAGTTTCTATTCTGGAGATCAGTTGCATTTCCGGGAGATCTCTGGGCCCCTACCGTATACATTGTGTTGTAACCCACCCGGAGCCTGCTTGCAGGGGAGGGCGGGATAGAAGCCCAATATATAAATATAAATAAATAGGGTCATGTGTAGTTAAAGGTAAATGTAAAGGTTCCCTTGCTCGAAAGCCAGTCGTGTCCGACTCTAGGTTTGCGGTGCTCATCTCCGTTTCCAAGCCGAAGAGCCAGCGCTGTCCGAAGATGATTCCGTGGTCATGTGGCCGGCGTGACTAAACACCAAGGCGCACGGAACGCTGTTACCTTCCCACCGAAGTGGCATCTATTTATCTACTTGCAATTTCTTGCTTTCGAACGGCTAGGTTGGCAGGAGCTGGAACTAGAGACGGGAGCTCACTCCGTCATGCAGCACACTCGGGTCTCGAACTGCTGAGCTACCGACCTTCCACAGCCTGCAGTTCAGCGTCTTAACCACTTGAGCCACTTGAGCAGCTCCTCCAATGGGTAGTTAGGCCTACAGTTATATTGCTTAGCTATTTCCTCTTGGGTTCAATTCAAGCATCTAGTTCTTACAGTAAGGCCCTTCACAGCCTAAGGCCCACAAACCCAAAGGACTGCCTTCCTTGGCCCGGACCTGTGCAGTCCCGCAGGGCCACCCAGAATTGTATCCTGCCATCTTCTCATCTGTCCTCTGTAACTGGGTCTTCTCAGCCAATGCACCGATGTACAGAATGACCTCCCAGAGGTTGCATGCTGAGATTCATCTCTGATGGCTTTCAGACATCTATGTAAGACCATTTTGCAGCAAAGAGCTTTTGGGGACTGCCGGTGCGCTTTGGCTGGTTGTGGGCACAATTCCATTTGTACAAGCTGTCTTTCTGGTGAGCTTTCTCAGCCTTTTCCTCTTGACGTGTGTGCGCGCGCGCGCAAAGTGCCATCAAGTTGCAGCTAACTTATGGAATCCCCAGCAAGGGGCTTTCAAGGCAATGGAGAAGCAGAGGTGGCTTGCCATTGCCTTCCTCTGCAGAGCCTTCCTTGGTGGCCACCCATCCAAGTACCAACCAGTGTTCCCTCTAAGCTGAGTTAGTGTGTGCCGGCTCACAGTTTTTTAGCCTCCGGCTCACACATGTTTGTCTCCGCCCAGGAAGGATGGCTCCAGAGCAAACTAATTTATGCAGCAGCCAGATCGCTCGCTCACCACTTTAATGCCGGTAGCTCACAAAGTAGAATTTTTGCTCACAAGACTCCACAGCTTAGAGGGAACCAGGGCTAATTTTGGGCAGGAACGCACAGGAACGGAGTTCCGGCTGGCTCTGAGTTTGCCAGCTCACAGTTTTTTAGCCTCCGGCTCACACATGTTTGTCTCAGCTCAGGAAGGATGGCTCCAGAGCAAACTAATTTATGCAGCAGCCAGTTCGCTCGCTCACCACTTTAATGCCGGTAGCTCACAAAGTAGAATTTTTGCTCGCAAGACTCCACAGCTTAGAGGGAACATTGGTACCAACCTTATTTATTTATTTCTTGCATTTGTATTATTTAATAATAAATAAATAATAAACCTTGCTTCGCTTCCCCCAGCAAGGGGCTTTCAAGGCAAATGAGAAGCAGAGGTGTTTTGCCATGGCCGTCCCCTGCAGAGCCTTCCTTGGTGGTCACCCATCCAAGTACCAATCCTGCTTAGTTTGCCCCAGCAAGGGGCTTTCGAGGCAAGGGAGAAGCAGAGGTGGTTGGCCATTGCCTTACTCTGCAGAGTCTTCCATGGTGGTCTCCCTTCCAAGTACAGACCCTGCTTAGTTTCTGACTTACGGCAACCCCAGCAGGGGTCTTGCAGGGCAACTGAGAAGCACCACTGATTTGCCATTGCCTTCCGCTGCAGAGTCTTCCTTGGAGGTCTCCCTTCCAAGCACCAAACCTGCTTAACTTCTGACTTAAGACAACTCCGACAAGGGGCTTTCAGGGAAGTGGGAAGCAGAGGTGGTTGGCCATTGCCTTCCTCTGCAGAGTCTTCCTTGGAGGTCTCCTTTCCAAATACTGATCCTGCTTAGCATCCAAGATCAGGCGAGATCAGGCTCTATACTACACTGCCTTCCCTCCCCTTCATCCTGACTTAACTCCCGGTCATGTTTTTCATTGTTCGTTACAATAGCAGCCACCCTTGGACTTTTGGGAAAGTGGGATAACACCTTTTGGGACTGAATAAATAATTGCCCCTCTCCCACCACCTTATCTCCCCCTCCGATATAGAATGATAGTGATGTTCCCTCCCCGCAACTCCAAAACAATGTGGATTCCTAGGTCTTCCGAGGTCGATTCTTTGAGTGTGGAACCTCAATAGCGTTCTTTCGGACAGGA